CACACACACACACCTCTTTGCAGAACATCTGTTGAGTCACTTGGAACAAGCCAAAGGAGTCCCCCAGACAGGCCAAAATGATGCACCTCCAGAGAAATCTTCAGAGACTCCCACTGCCGATAAGCCTGTAACTGGTGAAAGTGCCAGTGCCAACGTGGACTCCAGGAGGACTCCCCGAAGAGGAAGAAAGCCCAAAGCAACAAAAGCAGAAACACCCCTTGTAATTGCTGAAGCTAAAGACCCAGCAGGTGAGATGACAGAGGTTTTAAAAAAGTAGTTGCTAAATATGCTTCCACCTTAATGATATATTCTCAACAAGCTTCTCCCCCCGCCCCAAGTTCAGAGTGGAAATGGGAAACCTAAAGGTTTTTTTAGTTTACATAGAAAATCCCCATGTGATTTCAGAAAATGATTATCAGTTGTTTCTAGGTGCTTCTGTAATAACCACTGCAGCAGCTGTGTGTAAACGGATGGGCAGGCTCTCACCACTGGGAAGCCGAAAGAAAGCTCAAACTTTTAAGTTCAGGTCCAAGTCCAAGTCCCTTTCTTACGGGATGTTTTTTTTATTAAAGCAGAAGATGCAGAAAGACTCAAAGACTTTCTAACTGAGGCCTAGTTGCTTTAATTTTCAGTGAGACTTAGGGCAGGGTAGTTGGGAAGGACGAGGACACATTCGTCAGGAGCTTTCCTTTATATCGTTTTCAGTAGATAGTCACATAGTGCATGGTCAGCCAACCCTTCACTGACACATGCCTTGTCTAGAAGCTACAACTCCTAGTAACCACTATTCTTAAAAGAGTATACTTCAGTGACAGACATATTGGCTGTGCCTTACAGGCTGGAAATCTTATGCTACTCCTGTGTTATCAGTGAAGCTGTTGAATGTGCCACACAGGGCAGAACAGCTTTACCTTTAACACTGCTCTGGAGTAGTGGTTTGTGAACCTAAATCTGCAAAATAAACTTGGCTCCTTGTCCTTTTCTGTACAACTATTCTGTGGGTGTAAAGTTTGTCTGAGGCCAGGAGCTTAGCAGGAAAGAAATAGATTGGACATTTATGTAGCTAACAAGAACACCTGTAGTTGAATAGGATGAAAACAAAATTTAGAAAGGAGATGACACCCTCGTGCTTCTGGGATTATAAACTATCCTCTAACTTGAGCTTATTGGCTGAAGCATTTCCGATGGTCAGATTTTTTTCTGTAATTTCCCACTTCATGGTAAATAGCTGAATACTGGACACTGCTGGAGCTAACTTGAGATTGTGGCAATTCTCCTGTATCTGTTCTTATTGTAGATAGATCAGTCTGGAGACTTCATTCCCTTATGTAAAGAAGGGTGCTGTGGAAAATAGATGGATGTTTTCTATTCCTTGTGAGAATAAATTGTTCCAGAAGAGTCCTCCCCCATAATTGAAGGATTTCATTTGTCTTGGAGGTAGCTGCTGAGTTGGGTTCCCATTATGGATTTGAATTTGAATCTTCCTAACTATCCTGTCTGGAGCTCAATCAGATGCCAAGAGTTAAAGCTCAATTTCAGTTTATAGCTAGATCAGGAGAGTGTCAAATTAAATATAAAAGCGACAAGGAGTATTGTCAGATGTATTGGAGCATAAGCTTTCGTGGGCAAAGATCCACTTCGTCAGATGCTGCCTATAAGTCTATATGGTGCTACAGGACTCCTTGTCACTTTTGCAGATCCATGCTAACACGGCTCCCCTTCTGAAAGGAAATATAATGGTTTGCATCTGTCTCAGAAATATTCTGAGTTTTATTCTTCTGTGTGTGTATTCATGTAAGTCAAGGATGGGCAATAAAAAAAGGCAATCCACAAGGTTAATTCCTGGTGGGCCTCCACTTCCATGTTTACCTGCGCCTCCGCAGGTATTGGTGGAACGCAGCTCTGGTTGGCTGTGAATTGCTGTTTGTAGCCAATGCAAGTGGCAGGAAACATTTCAAATATTCTGAGTTTTATTCTTCTGTGTGTGTATTCATGTAAGTCAAGGATGGGCAATAAAAAAAGGCAATCCACAAGGTTAATTCCTGGTGGGCCTCCACTTCCATGTTTACCTGCGCCTCCGCAGGTATTGGTGGAACGCAGCTCTGGTTGGCTGTGAATTGCTGTTTGTAGCCAATGCAAGTGGCAGGAAACATTTCAGACTGAGACACTGCTGCCTGCTGTTTGCATTGGCTGTGAGTGGTGGTTCGCTGCCAGTGAGAGCTGTGATCCTCTGATACTTGCAGAGGTGCAGGTAACCAGGGAAGTGGGGGGCCCATGAGGGACTAACCCTGTGGACCAGATCTGGCCCGTGGGCCGGAATTTGCCCACCCCGATAGAAGTACTGTATTTATATAATAATGTATTCACAGTGGATCGAGTAGCTGAAATTATAACAGAGATCCCACCTGATGAGGCAGCCCTTCCCTCTGCTGCAGAAGAGAGGATTATGGAACTGGTTTTAGGAAAGTTGCCAAGCACCACAAACAACATTAGTACGGTAACAAAGTAAGTCACCATGGGATGCATGCCTTCATAATGGGGTATAACCTTCTCTCCCCAGCACCATTGTTGTTTCCTCCTGTTAGCATGGAGAAAGGGCTCATTTGGTTCAAGTGCTGAAAGCCGTCTGCACTGCATCCGTAGCTCGAAATAAGCTATGCAAGTTGAGCTATGCAAATTGCGTAGTTTATTTTGAATCAGTTTCTAAATAGCATATCCCGAAATAGTGCCACTGTGTAGACATAGCCTTAGACTTTTTCAGAATGTATTGACTGATCAGAACTTAGATGCATTAAGGATGTTAAGGACTAGTCGACTATCCGATAAGCATTTGTCGACTAGTCGATTTCCCCCTCCCCCTTGCTGCCTCTATCAGCTAGAGGCAGCAAAGGGGAGGAAGAGGTACTTCAAAGCGGTAGCACCACGCAGCTGAGCCAGGGATTAGCTGTACAGTGCTGCTGCTTTGAAAGGCAGAGTTTCAAAGGGGCAGCCACTGCACAGCTGATCCATGGCCCCTTTAAAGGACCAAAACGTGGAGGCTGGGGTCAGCTGGGGACTTCCCAGCTAACCCCAGGTTCTGAGCGGCATTTCCGCAGAACCTGGGGTCAGGTGGGGACATCCCAGCTGATCCCAGGCTCCCTGTGGCTTCAGCAGAGCCCGGGGTCATCTGGGGAGTCCCACACTGACCCTGGGCTCCATGGCTTTGAAGTGCACAAGAGCCCCTGCTGGGGACTCTTGTACATTTCGAAGCTGCACGGAGTAAGTGGGACTTCCCGCCGACCCTGGGCTGGACTCGACTAGTCAGTTAACTGCATTTTAATATCGCTAAGATGCATTGCCACATCCATTCAAAGCCTTGTTCCTTGTATGTGCGTATGCACACATGCTGCTGGTAGAATTGCTGGTCAAGGAGTCTCTTCCCCCTTTGTATGCCACAAAGAGGGATTCATGCAGGCCCAATGTATTGTAAGCTGATGCTGGGTTGTAGCCATGGGTATTGAAGACCGGTGATGTGAATTTCACAATTAAAGTGCAGTGCGATAGGGTTATTTCTCTGTTTTGTTACAATGTCGTACAATGGGATATTTTAAACTCATAAGGGGCTGCAAGGTTAAATGTTATTTCCACTGTTGCTGAAAAAAGGCTAAAGATAAGGTTATTAAAATGTCTTCCAGGCATGTAATGTAGTCTCTTACTGATGTATGTAATTTGTGAATCATGTCTCTTGCATCACTGTGAATTACATTTTAGAGTTTAAGTCTGTGACATTTATAAAACCTCTGGGAGGTCCTTGTTCATTTAATTGCATATTTTAAACTTGTTCCAGTGAAGCTAGCTTCTTGAGACATATGGAGGTGATCGATTCATTGATGTTTTCAGATTCTAAAGTTCATAGTAAAAACAACGTGGAGTCCTGTGGCACCTTAAAGATTAACAGATTTATTTTGTGAGAAAAGGCCTGCTTCATCAGATGCATTTACAAAGAGGCACCACAGGACTCCTCGTCTTGTTTGCAGGTACAGATTAACACAGCTACTCCTGATAAAGTTCATGGTGCTATGAATAAATTGAGGTCCATCACAAGTAATTAGAAAGTACACATTCAAGAACATGTCCCGAAGGGACATTTCCTGATGGTTCCACACGTGATCATTTTGTGTGGTTCTTGCATGAAGACTATAAAGCTTGTAAATGCAATGTGAGATATCTTTGGAGGATTAGAAGAGTGATTCCTGTGATTAGTTTATTTCATAGACCAATAGAACTAGAAGGAACCTTGAGAGGTCATCAAGTCCAGTCCGCTGCACTTATGGCAGGACAAAGCACCATCTACACTATCCCTGACAGGTGCTTAACATGCTCTTAAAAATCTTTAGTGACGGAGATTCCACAACTTCCCTATGCAATTTATTCCAGTGCTTAACCACCCTGACGGGAAGTTTTTCCTAATGTCCAACCAAAACATCCCTTACTGCAATTTAAGCCGATTGCTGCTTGTCCTATACTCAGAGGTTAAAGAGAACAATTTTTCTCCTTCCTCCTTGTAACAACCTTTTAGGTGCTTGAAAGCTGTTATGTCTCACCGGTCTTCTTTTTTCCAAATTAAACAAACTTAATTTTTTAAAATCTTCCCTCAGAGGTCATGTTTTCTAGACCTTTAATCATTTTTGTTGCTCTTCTTTGGACTTTCTCTAGTTTGTCTACATCTTAGTTTGTCTACATCTTTCCTGAAATGTAGCATCCAGAACTGGACACAATACTCCAGTTAAGGTTTAATCAATGCAGCGTAGAGCAGAAGAATTACTACTTATGTCTTGCTTATAATACTTCTGTTAATACATGCCAGAATAATATTTGCTTTTTTGTGACAATGTCACATTGTTGACTTATTTCATTTGAGGTCCATTATAAAGCCTTGATCCTTTTCTGCAGTACTCCTTCCTAAGCAGTCATTTCCCATTTTGTATGTGTGAAACTGATTGATTGTTTCTTTCTAAGTGGAGTACTTTGCATTTTTTCTTATTCAGTTTCATCCTATTTACCTCAGACCATTTTTCCAGTTTGTCCAGATCATTCTGAATTCTGGTCTTGTCCTCCAAAGCACTTGCAACTCCTCCCAGCTTGGTATCATCCACAGACTTTATAAGTGTGCTGTTCATGCCATCATCTACATTTTTGACTGTGGTGGCCACTTGTGTTTCTGGCTGAGGGTTGCTGGAGCAAATTCCCTTCTGATAGCTCAGCTACTCTCCATGTATGGCCATGAGAAGTCATTGTTGTCAGAACATTGTTGATTTTCCAAAGGCTGAGGTAGCACTCTTAGCTATTGCCTATAGACGGGACTGTTAACTTAAAGAAAAAGAAAACCAACTGTGGAATGTCATTTTGCTCACTGCCTTTCTCTAATCCAGTAGGTTTTCTCATCACCAAAACACCATGTCCCTCAAAAGAAGTTTAATTCTCTCCAGTAGACACGGAATACGCCGAAAGCTGATAAAGCAACTTGGGGAACACAAACGGGTCTATCAGTGCAACATTTGCAGTAAGATCTTCCAGAACAGCAGCAACCTCAGCAGGCACATCCGGTCTCATGGTGGGTTTGCTTTCAGCTCCCGTCCATGATGTAGTTATCTCCAGTCTATCTGGGTGTTCTATAGCGGAACTGAGAGATTCTAGAACCAGATGTTTTTCACTGTTTCCTTTATTGATTACTAGACGGCTCCTTAATGAAACAGGCAAAAGCATGGTAAGATCCAGTGGCTGGAAGTTGAAGCTAGATAAATTGAGACTGGAAATAAAAGTGCAGACTTTTAACAGTGAGATGATGCAGTGTGTTCTCAGTCACTCTGAGTCTTTAATTGTCTCTATAAAATACATATTCTAGTTCAGCTAGGGGCTATTGGGTATATAGAACTAATTCCAGGAAATACATTGGGTGAGTTCTATGTCCTGTTTTATGCAGGAGATCAGATGACAGTGGTCCCCTCTGATTTAAAAAATCAATGAATTAATGCTTTTAATTATTAAATCTGCTCATGTTTCAGCAGATCGCTAGTCCAAATTTGGAACAAGCTAAACAATTTTTTAGTTATTACATGTGGAGTTCCCAGTTGGTTCCATCAGTCACTCACTCTGTTTTGTCTGGATGGATTCCTCAGGTGACAAACTGTTTAAATGTGAAGAATGTGCAAAGCTGTTCAGCCGGAAAGAGAGCTTGAAGCAACATGTTTCATATAAACACAGCAGAAATGAGGTAAGTAGAAACAACCAGATGGTTCTTCACGAGGAGGTGAAAAGGTGCTGTGAGTTCTAGGCTGATGACTAGGGCATGTGAATGGATTCCTGGTATGAATTACCTATGGAAATGCACTCAGGCATTTGTTACCTCCAAGGCCTTGTCACTGAATCAGATTTACGTGGACACTCAGGGCAGGATTTAAAGGTGTGCTCTGACTGCTGCTCTGTGTTCTAAGTAGGATTGTTTCACTGTTGTCTTGTTTGCTTGTCCTCTCTAGTTATTTGCACCTCTTATCTTTTGTTGTATGTGCTCTCTAGAGCAGAGAGAGCGTGTGTGTGTGTGTGTGTGTGTGTGTGTGTGTGTGTGTGTGTGTGTGTGTGTACACGTACATACATGCATAAGTACAACACCATAATTTTTGCAGCATGTTCAGAATCACAGGTCTGAAATTTAAAATGTCTGAATTCAGCACTGAAATATACTCAAATGTTTTGACCAAAAAATCTGTAGAAAATGAAATGGCTGTAAGAAAATAAAAAAGCAGCCTAGAATTGTGCAAGTGCTCTCTTTCTGTTGTGTATGGTTTGTGATACTTTTCCCTCTTGTACTGTTTTTTTTTAATTGTTTAATGTTTGCAATCCTCAGGTCGACAGCGACTACAGGTACAAATGCGCTACATGTGAAAAGGCCTTTCGGATAGAGAGTGCATTGGAATTCCACAACTGCAGAACAGGTGACCATTACTTACCAATGTTCTCCGATCTTGAACAAGCTTTGTTAATTTCCCAAATGTGATGGAGGTGTACAGACCCCTCACTAAGACTAAAAATAATGGTGCAGTACTGAGCCAAGAGGGTCCTGCCTCTCAGCACTTGTAGAACTTCCTTCATTTGGAGCACCTGTTTAAAAGGGGGAGAGTGAAGAAAAGACTGTCTACAGGAATGAAACCAATTGGTTGGTAGCTTCTGGGACAGAGGAATCCCCAGGGGAAGAGTCTTGGATTGTGGCTGAGATCTGACCTAACAGCTAGGGGTTCAAGCTCTTTTTCTCGCCTCTTCTTTCTGACAAGGGGGAATCACTGGACGCTGCTAAGGGAGCTGGGAAGCACCAATTGACTATCTGGGCAGCCTTCCTTGGGGAGGGAAGCAGAGTGACGTGGTCCTGCCCCAAACAGAGAAAAAACGGGGAGGTAGGAAATGGCCCAGGGGTAGCTGGTCTGGCGTATGAGTAAGAGGGGCCAGAGAAATTCCTCCCACTTTTCCTGGGACCAGGGACTGGGTCCCTGAACCTCTCCCTTTCCTTTCCCCTTTGTTGGGCTGGGAAAAACTGAGAAACACCAGTAGAAGACATCTGTAACTCAACTCATAGGCCCTCAGATTTCCTGACATGGCCTTCCTAGGATTTTGGGGACTATTGAGCCATGGCCAACGGGTCCCCCAGGTGAAGTCTGCTATATGATAATTGATTGCTATACCAACTATGAGGGAAGAATAGTCATGTCAGGCTTCACCTTCCTCAAGGTCCAGCAGCACTGTAAAAACAAACTTACTTCATCATTGAAAACTATTTAAGGCAATCTGTACAGCAAAAATTCCACCAATGTACTGAATTTTATTTCTTTCGAATCTAACATCCCCAGTTTTGCCTCTGATATCTCCTCCCAGAAATCCCATCACCATTCTCCAATTTGCTTTTTCTAAAACTAATCTTTGTATCTTTCCTCTCAGTCTATCTCTGCTTCCTGTCCTCTTCATTGCCATTGATAGCTCTGGACTTCTAGACTGGTGTTTCCCAACCTTGCAATCATCTTCACCTGTTTTCTCATTCCTTCTCCCAATAAATCCAGTCATTGTAATGCTAGATCTAACAAGAGAGTGCATTTCTTATCCATTTCATTTTAAAATAATGGCTTGCTTTCCATTACCTGCAGACGACAAAACATTCCAGTGTGAGATGTGTTTCAGATTCTTTTCCACGAACAGTAACCTCTCAAAACACAAGAAGAAGCATGGGGATAAGAAATTTGCATGTGAAATCTGCAATAAGATGTTCTACCGGAAGGACGTCATGTTGGATCATCAAAGGAGACACATGGAAGGTAAGTACACTTGGCATGAACCTGATAGTCACTTTTGGAGTGTTAGCTGGCTGGTGAAATTAAGTAAATCATTTTGCATTGGTTTTCGGAGGATGCTGGGTATCATTTAAAAACTAGATAGTTTGATCTTGTGTAGCTTGACCCAGTCCAGAGATTAATACGGGATTATGGCCATCAATTTAACGGTTGTGAGTGTGGCACAGTGAGGTTGCCTTACAACATTTTAGAGCACTTAAGAAACCAGACCAGAAGAGCTGAGAACTAATTAATCTCATTGAAGTTGGTGGGAGTTCCAGGTGCCCAGCACCTTTTGATAACTGTACCATTGCCTCTGAAGGAAATGGCAGCCCCAAAGAGGAGGTTTAAAATGAGAACATACCATGAAATCTGGGTATTTTTTAACTGCCACTAGTAGTTTTTGGGGACAAGATCAAAGGTAATTTAGAAGCAGGGCAAAATTAAACATTCTGAGCCCTAGGCAACAAGAGAGACCCCTGCCCACCATGTCACGGCCCCATTCCCCACTTTGAGTGGCTGTGGGACAGTGGGTCTTCCCTATTCTGTCATTGAGACTGGGCTTCTCTTCCTGGGATAGCAGCAGGGGCAGCAATAGTGGTCTTTGTAAAACATTAAGTGCCAAAGGTGGAGTGGCAATGCATTTAGTGCATCTGATTGACTGGCTAAAAGAGTTCTAGGTTAACCCGTCATTATCATGGATAAAGCAAATAGCACCTGGTAGACTTTGCTGAAACAAATAATCAAAGTGACTTACTTACACGTCTCTTGCATGGTAATATTGGTACAGTAACAAGAAAACAAAATATATCTTCAGCAGGCCTCTCTTGTATTTCTAAGATCCCTTTCACCGCTGTAACTAAACATTCATTCAGAGACAACATTACACCTAGAGCCACACTCCCCTATATCACCGTGCTTTACAGGAACAGTGTGTATTCAACTATGAAGGCATGCGGGTTGGAGTGTAAAACATGGCTTATTTTATTTTATTTTTTTTGGTGGGGACTGTGACATTAAGGGGTGAGACGTGTGAAAAGAGAAGACTTTGAGCACAACACAGAGAACATGGTCCGCTACAAGAAGGAACCCTCAGGATGCCCTGTCTGTGGGAAGGTAGGCTTTTTTGCCAGTTTGTGTCTGGTAGAGCTTTATATTCAATCTTTATATTCAAGCTCCAGCAATCCTCCAGTGCTCACTACAGGCTCACCAAGAAATGCTCTCTAGCCAACCTTCTGAGGAAAGGATTAACTGAAAGCAGCATTAAACAAAACCCTAGTCCATATTTTTTGAGGACTAGTTAGACATTGTTACGCTCCAGATTTGTCTGTTAATACAGTCGCTTAAGTTGGCTAAGGTTGTAGTGAAGGGTTTCTGTTGGAGTGAGAGAAGCTGGATGTGTACTTTTGTGAGCAATTGTTTTTAGAACTGAAAATGTGTGGTGTAGTGATGGAGGTCAAGAGCTGGGCAATGTGATATTAGGGTGGTAAAATATGCACTGCAAGATTAGTGTGAATGTTGGCTTAGCTATTGTTTCTAAGATGTGATTTGCAGTAGGATGTGAGCAAGTAAGTAAACGATAAGCCTAGGCTTCTTGGTTAATCTTCTCGACTAGTTGCATGCTGTATCAGAGGCAGCGAGGGTGGAGGAAGCAGGAGCAGGTGCTGCTCCCCAGCACTGGCTACGCAGTGCTGCTTGCCCCTCTCCCCCCTCGCTCCCCCTGTGCAGCTGCCTCTGTCAGAGGCAGCAGTGGTGGGGGCCAGGAGAGGCCGCTGCGAAGTGCCCTGGCTTGCTGCTGGCAGAGGCTGCTTTGTGACAGTAGACCCTCTCCATGCGGGGCTCGGGGAGGGAGAGGTCTGAGCTCCACGTGGACAGAGACTGAAACTGCCTGTGGACAGAGGCTGCTTCGCAGTAGCCTCCCCGACCTTCACGAGGCGGCAGGCAGCCAGTCCGTGAGGGGAGCTGGCTTTTAAACTGACTCCCCTTGCAGACCAACTCCCGCCTGGCACCCTGCCCTGCTGTCTGTAACACAGAGGCAGCAGCATGTGGTGGCAGGGGGCTTCCCGGGAGTGAGGCCAGAGTGCACTGGCTGCTGGCTCCATCCCTGGGGACTATAGAATAGTCGAGTAACCACTAAGAATTCATGCAATTAGTCTCCTATTCTGTTACCTGCCATCTAACATCCCTTATTTTACTTGGGTATAGCAAAGTGTCAGATATCGGGTAATTGAGTAGTCGTGTAACTGCATGAAATCTTTGAGGTTACATGACTATTCGATAGTTCCTGGAGGCGGGACCAGCAGCCAATGCACTCCCAGCCCCACTCACAAGGTGGCAGGGGGATCCAGTTTAAAAACTATCTCCCCTCACAGACTGGCTACCTGCTGCCCTGAGCTGCTGCTTCTGATACAGAGGTAGCAGCGTGGGGTGGCAGCAACCCCTGTCCATGGGGGGTCCAAGCTCCAGGAGACGAAGAGCAGCCTCCGTCCATGTGGAGCTCCA